GAATGGCAGTCACAGTAATGAACTAATTTATAGCCTAGGTATAGTGGTGCCCTAAAACAATAGAGCATATATGGAAAGGCTTAACTGCTAGAAACCAGGGTCATTATTATCTTAGGTGCCAGAAAGTTCAGAGGGACAGCTAAGAGAGATTGACCCATAAGAGCTATTGCAGAAAGTTCTTTGAACATGGTGTCCCAAAAGACAGAACATGGTGCTATATAACATCTACAGTCAGAAGTGGAAAAGAATTGGGAAGAATAAGTATTAAAGTGGTCATTTCAGGTAGTGTCAAGTATTACAAATTGTCCACTAAGAATAGCCACTGAACATTTAAGCAGATAACTTAGCCAGATGATTGTTCCTAGCCTTTGTCAACAGCCACTCCAGAACTGACATGGTTTGCCCACGGACAAAATTACTGTAGGCATTTGGTAGCAAATTACCACAAAGGTGCAGTTTAAACAAACACAATTTATTAGCTCATAGTTCTGTAGGTCAAAAGTCCAATTATAATTACAACCCTTGTCTCTATAACTGGTCATGTGGTTGCAACTGGTATTTATAACTGCCTTCTTCTACTACTTAGTCTATATTCCTTTTTTTTCTGCAAGTACCTCAGCTGGTCATGGTTCTTTACTTGATAGGAACTGCATTCTTAAAGAGTCTGAGCATTGTCTGGAGTAGGTTATTGTAATCTCCCATTGATCTTAATCACTGGGTGATTATATACACACATGCACACACACACATATATACATATGTATGTACTATACAAATAATATATACGTATATATAAAATTATTACTTTGGTATTTTTAAGAATTATTTTTATTTAACTTTATTTTATTTTATTTCATATTTTAATTTGATCAGAGAGGGATAGAGTGAAAGAGAGAGTGAGAAATCGAGCTGCCAGTTCTGGGACTTGAACCATGGTCGGCCATGTGGGAGTCCAACGCTCTTAACCACCACACCACCTGCTGGCCCCATTACTTTGGTATTTTTTAAAAAAGTGTTTCCTTACGGTATGTGTGTTTGCTGGAGAGAGTCAGAGAGAGGGAGAATGAGAAACCCAGCAGTAATGGCCATGCCACAATTCCTTCTCTTCCATTCTCTTCTTGGGATTTTGGACATATGTGCACATGTGCCTGGTGTTGCTTTCAAACTACTAGGTTGGCAATTCAAACTGTGGTTGGCCATGTGGTAATTCAGAGCCTTAACCATTACACCACCTGCTGACCTCAGGGCATAACAATATTAAGAGCTGTTTCAAGTGATCTTCTGTATGCCAGACATATTCTTTCTTGCCTCCATTGTGTAGTAGTAGTACCACAATTTTTCCTCTGTAGTCTGGGTCAATCACCCTTTGGTGGGCATTTACATAGCACACAAATACCTTAAAATCCTTTGCCCATGGGACTAGCAGATGGTGTAATGGTTATGCTGCTGAACTCCCTCATAGTTGACTGTGGTTAAGTCTCAGACCTGGAGGCTCAAACTCACACCGGGTATGTGGGTGCATGTGCCCAAGATCCCAAGAGGAGAATGGAGGAGCAGGGATTGTGGCATGGCCATCCCCCATAGGGGGTTATTTCTTGTTTTCTATCTCTTGCACCCTCTTGCAAAAATCTCTCTATTAAAAAGAAAATCCTTTGCCCATTCAGAGGTCTATCCATATACTTCTTTCCTAAATTTCTTTTTCACCAATTTTTCAATAATTTTTCTTTGAAGTCTCTGGCCATCCAAACCATTGGTCACAACCCATGAATCTATGTATGGTCACATGTCTGGCCATTTCTCCTTCCAAGCATAGTGCACAACCACATACACAGCCTGCATTTATGTCCATTGAGAAGATTTTCTTTTACCAATGTCTTTTAGGAATGTCCCAGGAAGAGGCCATAATGCTACAGCTGTCCACTTCCTAGTGGTGCCTGAATATTGCTCAGAACCAGCTGTAATGCAGGCACTAGTTTTCTCTTCCTCCATTGGCTGATTGTAGGGTACTCTCCATGAGGCCATAGGTGTAGGCTGGGAGAGGAAAGGCAGTGTAGCAGGAGTACGAACCATAGATATTTGGGCCACCTCTTCCTGTAACTTACTTGAGCCTTCAGGACTTACTCATGCATATGCCACTTCATTTAATGCTGGAGTGCTGCTGTGTATGCCCAACTTTAAGGGTTGGTGGAGCAGATAACAACCAGTTCATTTGGGCAGCTCAGGTTACATAGTAAATTGGTGGCCCATGGTCAAGTGTTCAGCTTCTACTAAGGCCCAGTTATGGGCCAAAAGAAAAGTTATCTGAGGATGATGGCAAGGCCTTACCCTGAGATCCTGAGGATCTTCACTGCGATTCACCTACAGGAGCCTGACATAGGCTCTAAACAATATCCCTCTCTGCCACTGATAACCTCAAGTACCATCAGATCTGCTGGAGTATATTGGCCAAACGACAGAGCTTGGACTTAGTGTAGAGCCTTCTGTTCTGGACCCCACTTCAAGCTAGCAGCTCTTTGGGTCACTCAGTAGATAAGCAAGAGTAACATATTTAAATGAGAAATGTGTTGCTTCCCAAATCCAAACAGACGTACTAGGCATCGTACCTATTTCTTGGTTGTATGAGGGACCAGATGGAGGAGGAAATCCCTTATCTTTACCTTGGAAGGGATATCTAGACATGCCCTCTACTGCTAGACCCCTAGAACCTTTATTGAAGTTAGATTTCAGTTGGATTTATTTATCACCCTCTGACATGCAAATGTCTCACCAATGGGTCCAGGGTGGTTTCTATTTCCCACTCACTAGGTCTAATCAGCATGATGGTATCCATGTAATTGACCAATATGATATCTCATGGAAGAGAAAGACAATCAAAATCTCTACAAACTATTAATAAATGGACATATGACTGAGGAGTTGATAGACAGTGAAGGTGTATTGCTAGCTTTACACGCTAAAAGCAAGCAGTTTCTGGTGGGCCTTATAGACAGGTACAGAGAAAAAGGCATTGACCAGAATCAAGAGCTATATAGCAGATACTAGAGACATACTAATTTATTTGTTTGCTCTGCCTTTCTTCTCTCCCCTTACAAGGCAAAGCTTGCTAGTCCCAGAGGTGTGTCTTATTGGCAGAACCCAGCTAGTTCCAGCCCCTCCTTTACTCTCTTGACTTTTCAAAAAACATTCAGTTCCAAGAGCTGACATTTGCCACCATGAAGGGTCTGAGTGCAATTCCCAAACATATAGGCAGGGGAGCCTCTGATAAAAATCCAAACACCAAGAATTACAGGCATTGGTGATTTAAGACTCTGAGTCTAAAGTTCTGAGAACATGAGACCCTAAGATTCTGAATTACGCACCCGGTAGTTCTCAGATTCAACAGTCTTATTATTTCACAAGTCTAAGCATTCCTGAGTCAATGTTTATAGAAGCCTTGTAAGGAAATATGTATATGGATGTACTCTGACACTGGATTGTTAATATGTTTATAATAATTTAGCGTGTCCCTATGGGTTCATCCTTATTCCCACAAATCAGTAAGAACAAAGCAGCTAATTTATGAAAACCAAGATGCAAAACACAGATCATGGAAATTGAGAAATATGAAGTTAATAGCTTGTTATGAAAGTTAGAGTATGTAGGAGACTAGATTTTCTTAGTCAATTATGCTTACCATGGGCAAGTCCTTAATATATATAAACACATAGCAATCCAAGGCTGATGTGTATGGGTGTTCAAATTATGCACAGAAATGCCACTTTTTTTTTTTAGAGAGATTTTTGCTTTAGGGCATGTGTGCTCCCTGGAGAGACAGAAATTGAGAGACAGAAAGCAATAAATCACCCCCCCCAGGGCGGATGGCTAGGTGACAATCCTTTCTCCTTCATTCTCTTTTCAGGATTTTGGAGATGCACACACATAAACCTGGCGTGAGTTTCAAGCCACTGGGTCCAGGACTGGAATTGTGGTCAACTATGTGGGAGACCAGTGACATAACCACTAGGCTATCTGCTGGTCCCAAGATGCCACTTAGAGTAGGCAGGATATTTTGAAGCTCAGGGCTGAGTCTTGCAGTAGACCTCAGATCCATCAGAGAGAGCCCTGCCTTCAGAAATTCATAGAAGAATATTCGTTCATGAGTATGTTAGGAGAACATACAGTCATATATTTGGATGCACATCTGCACATATTCACGTCAGTATTCTCTGATCCAAAGTTCTTCCATAATTCTCTGAAAGTGTTTCTCTCCTTAACCTATTTTTTTAAGAGAGGTTTTTGCTATGGGGCATGTGTGCTCACTGGAGATACATAGAGAGCTAGAGAGACAGAAAGTAAGAAATCACCCCCCCCACCCCCCAGGGGGATGGCCACACCACAATCCCATCTCCATTTTCCTCTCAGGATCTTTGGCGTGCCTGCACACATGGCCAGTGTGTTTTAAGCTGTTGGTCCAGGATTCAAACGGCAGTCAACTATGTGACAGTCCAGCAACCATTACACCATCTGCTGGTCCCATCCCCAACTGATTTTATTAATAGGTTTTATTCCTGTCCTGAAGGCTGACTCTAAATCATAAACAATGGCCTTACCTGGTAGGGGGCACATACTATGATCCCCCGGGTGTTCAAGGTATGTATGAGTGGACACTGATTTCCTAAATCCTGTGGATCAGTATGTAAGGTAGTCAGGTCAGCTGTCTGCCAGGGCTCTGGAAAAACTACCTAGATAGGGCTGTTGAGGTTGCATGATAACATACTGCCTTGTTGCTTTACTTAAGGAAAGGGTGTCTTTTTTTAGAATCTGCTCAATGGACTATGGGTACAGATCTATGTTCAAGTAGGTAATAATGTTCCGTGAGACCTCAAAAAGAGACTTAATAATCCTGAGTCTCACTTTTGTCACCTGCAAAATGGGCATGAATATCATTTCAATTCTCATAGTTTGATCAGCTTTAAGTGAAGCAAAGCTGTAATACTTTTAGCAAAGAAACGATGCAGAGCAATTGTTCAACAAATAACAGTTGTTATTAATATTACTACTGACAGCGTAGTGTAAGACTTCCCTTCTCATTTCTGAAGGATCTCTCTTTAGCAAGGTGAACACATAAGGTCTATTTTTCCTCTTGCTCCTATCCACCTTGCCCCTTCTTTTCCTCTGACCTAATCTTCTTAACTCCACCACCGCTAGTCCCTCCCTTATCTTCTCTTTCCCCCCCTAGTCTCTCCCCCAACCTTTGCCCAGGCATAGCCCTGGCTCAGCGGGGAAGGAAACTCATGGTATAGTTTGGTGGAATTGTGGCAAAACCCACATGCTTGGGAGATACATCGATGTCCTGGGGGGATTGTGGGGACTTGAAGCGGAAGTTCTGCATGATGGTGGTGAGGAAGAGAAAGAGTTCCATTCTAGCCAGGCCTTCTCCAAAACAGTACCGCTTTCCTGAAAAGACAAAGCAGATATGAAGTGGATTCTTGTGTGCCCTCACCTCAATACAGACCCCAGCTGCATTCTCCCAGGGAGGAGGGACTGGAGTGTTGTGCCTAACAGACTTTCAGGAAAATCTCTAATCCTTTCTGAGCCTCAGTTTCTCTTGTACCTGAGATGGGGTGATATATGCCAGGCTGTAGCAATGATACACTCTCAAATATGGCTGCTGTGCTGTCATCTCCTTTTTAGGACCCTGAAGAATCTGCTGTACTTGGACAAATCTGACTTATACCAGGCCTAGATTATACCATCTCTGAAAGGCGTGTGGTAATTCCTTCCCTTTTGCCTAGGTGCAGGATCTTGGTGCTTGATAGTTACAGAGGTTGCAGCTGGTTAGTTTGAGGGTAGATTCTTTTTTTTTTTTAAATATTCATTTATTTATTTTTAATTTGACCAGAGAGACAGAGAGAGGTAAAATGAGAAAGCAAGCCACCAGGTCCAGGACTTGAACCGTAGTCAGCCATGTGGGAGTGTCCAGCGCCTTAACCACCACACCACCCGCTGGTCCCAATGGTAGATTCTAAGAAGAACTTCTAGCTGGAGAAAGATACTAGTCTACCTATCAGACAGGGTAGTTGGGCTGAGAGGTCCTGAGTGGTGTGAGCAGCACTCTGGCATCAAACAGAGGTCTCTTACCGATGGAGAAGGGCACAAAGGCATCACTCTTCTTAAACTGCCCCTTATCATCCAGGAAGTGCTGGGGGTTGAACTCCTGGGGTTTGGAGAAGAACTTGGGGTCTCTCAGCACAGAGCCCAGCATAGGAAACACTTCAGTGCCCTAGTAGGGAGGAGGAAGAGGGACTTGATAAGCTGAATTGAAAGATGGGTTTGTTGAAAGTACATACAATTGGAGGGGGGAACCAATGTGCTCCTGGTGAAGAGGTGAGGGAGTTGGCGGTCCTTTTAGGGAGGAGGAGCTTTGGGAGATGTGAGTTTGATGGCCCTGAGACAGGACGTTTGGGAACATGGAGTTTATGTCCCTCTAGGCAGGATGTTTAAGAACATTAGATTTGGATCCCTAAGGTAGAAGGTCTTAAGGAAATGAAGTTCATGCCCCTTAAGAAATTTGTAGGACATGGAAAGTTCATGTTCTCTGAGACAGGAAGGTCGAAGGACATGGGGGTCTGTTGCTCTTGTGGCTTGGCAGTTTTGGGGACATGTGGTTTGTGTCTCTCAAGGCAGGAGTTTGGGAGAATATGGGGGTTCATGTTCTTAACACAGGAAATTTGGGAGATGTGGTGTTGATTCACCTGAGTTGGATGGGGTACTGGGGTCATAGGGAGTGGGTTGGAGGTTTGTCTAGGCTGGGTGGAGGTCAGTACCTTGGGGAGAAGGAAGCCCCGAAACTTGGTATCCTTGATGACTCTGCGGGCCAGGCCCATGGGGATCATGTCTCCAAATCTTTGGATCTCGTGGATCACTGCTTCTGTGTAAGGCATCTTGGCCCGGTCCTCGAATTTGGGTTGCCGGTTCTTGCCAATCACCCGGTCAATCTCCTCATGGACTTTGGCTAGGAGGAGGGATGATGTGTTTAGTTTAGGTATTTTGGATTCTCAGGGCAGGGTGATTGTCTGAATATATAAAACTGGAAGAAAGTCATAGATCTAGGTATGACATACATGTAGAGCATTCGAAACAGACTTTGGCCATATCTATTGTAGGAGAAGGGTCCTGTTAACTTGTTCATGCCAGAATCATGGGGGAGGTACAAGAGAGGAAGGTTATTTATTTATTTATTTATTTTTGTTAGTTTTTGTTATAGGGGCTTGCTGGAGAGAGGCTGAGGGAGAAGTGAGAAATCACTTGTGGAGGGATGGTGACATCACAGTCTCTTCTACATTTTCCTCTTAGGATTTTGCGCTTGCATACGCACCTGCCTGACATGTTTTTAAAGCTGTTGGCTCGGGGACTTGAACTGCATTGTTGGCCATGTGGGATCTAACCACCTTAACCTCCATGCCACCTGCTGCCCTTGAGAGTAGTTAGTCTTTTTTTTTTTTTTTTGGTTTTTGCTATATGGCGCGTGCGCTCACCAGACAGACAGAGAGAGACAGTGAGACAGAAAGCGAGAAATCACCCCCCAGGGGGGATGACCACGCCACAATCCCTTCTCCTCCAGTCTCCTCTCGGGATCTTGGGCACGCACGCACACGTGCCTGGCGTGAGTTTTAAGCCACCGGGTCTGGGACGCGAACCGCGGTCGACTACGTGGGAGTTCAGCGACATAGCCATTACACTAACTGCTGGTCCCGAGAGTAGTTAGTCTTAAAGGATGGTCTGCAGGAGTGGGCAGTGGTCATGCAGTGAGCTTAGAACAGGATCAATTTAAAATCAGTTCAGGCATTTTCAGTATTTTAACAGTTTATGAGACTAAATTGGGGCCTATCAGCTAGATATCGTTCTGTCTCAGGATATTGGGCACATCTGAAGAAAAGGGATCTGGAGAGGTGGATCACAGTTTTGAGGGTCTGTGAACCTCTTCTCTCCCACCCTGTTCTTACCCTCCACATCTGGGTGCTTCATGAGCAGCAGGAAACCATAGCGCAGGGTCGTGCTGACGGTCTCAGTGCCCGCAAAGAAGAGGTTCAGCGTGGTCAGCACCAGGTTCTTCATGTAGAACTCTGTATTGGGGTTCTTTTGCTCCTGTAGGGAGAGAGGGTTTTAGGCTGAGTCCACTCTATGTGCCCTCAGGCCACTGTGGGTCTTTTCCTTTCAACCTCCCTCTCTTAGATCCAGACTAGGGGCAGGAAGAGGGATCCTCCATTTGGAGGCACTCTCCAGTGTCACTCTTCCAGCATCTGCCTGGGACACTGACTCTGTCTAAAATGCTCTAGTCACAATGTTTGCCTGGCCGACTATATATCTTTTGACGATCAGATCCACTGTCACTTTTTCAATTACAGGGATATTTAGAGAGAGAGTAGAGATAGAGAATGAAAAGGAAAGAAATGTCAAGATAAGGAGAGACAATCTTCCAAGACAGAGAATTTTAAAGGACACCTTATTCTGCTACTAAAAATACTGAAGCTTACTTTAGAGGAATCCCTTTCCTTGATTCTTTGAGCACTAGGCTTCATATAGCCTCATCTCCTTTCTTTTGTCTTTAATAACTGGAGGCTATGTGAGCGCACCAGAGACAGAGAAAGAGAAAGAGACGGAGAGAGACTGACAAAGCACCTCCCCACAGTAGGGTATGGTCACTCACAGTATTTTTTCCTCCATTTCTCTACCCCACTAGAATTTTGAATACTCATGCCCATGGGCCCAGAATGTTGTTCAAGCTGCTGAGGTTGGGATTTGAATTGCAGTTGGCCATGTGGGATCCAGCTTTCTATGCGTAACACGTAACTACTGCATTATGGGGCAGGCCCCAATCTAGTTTCTTCACACATGAGAGACTAACACCCAGATGGGCAGGGTTTTTCCATCATTCCATAGTAAGTATATCCAGGTCACCTGTCCACACACTGTACCTGATAACCAGAGCATGATAGGTTATATAGCACATTGGCTAAGAGAACCAACTGTAGTCAGAGAGACCAAGCTTTGAGCTAATGTCCACTGTTTCCTTGCTGTGTGTCCTGGGCCACACCATTTATACTCAGCCTCAGTGTTCTCATTTGTAAAATTGTGAAGTCATAATAGAACCTACTTCAAGAGCTCTTGTGAATGTTAAGCAGATGAGTACTATAAATCACGTAAATTGGTGCCTGGCCTATGACTGTGATGTAGGAATGTATGCTATCATGAATTTCCATGCTCAAGCCCATCCAAGGGTGGAGTAGGTAGAGTGATTGGGAGGATTATTATTATGGAGGAATATTCTGAATGCGACTCTGTTCATGGTACACCCCACTTCTGACCCCACCTCTGCCCATTTGCCTTTATCTAGCTTGGGATCTCCTACACTAGCTATTGGGGCACACCTCTTTCATGCGGATAAGAAAGGAGTCGATGAAGTCGCGCGGGGAATTTGGATCCAGTGTGCGCTGGTTCTGCTCCACTTTCTTGGCTACGAAGTCCTCCAGCCCTTGCAACTCCTTAAAGGCTTGTTGCTGTGGTCCTGGCAGGTGCTTCATCACTGAGTAGAACATCTCATAGAGCTGGGAGTTGGGGAGACAGGAAGGGAAATGAAGGCAACTACCCATGGGCAAGATCTGATGGGAGTGGGATCTGTCTCAGGGCAAGGAAGGCACTGGATTAAAGACACCTGTCCAGATATTTGGTTAAGATGGAACTGAATGTGAACACATATGTACATTTTCGTGTTGGTTTTGTGTGAGGGCCACTGTCCGAGGATTTAGGTGAGATGGACTAGGGTTTATGTCCATGTTTCAGATTTTCAGGTGAGGCTGAATTGAAGCACATATTTAGGGATTCAGATAGTACAGTATGATTGGGTTGGAAGACACCTGTCCAGATGATTCTGTGGGGCTGGAGTGGGGGGTGTCATCTGTCCAGGTATTAGGCATTCAGTGGGCTGGGCTGGAGAGAGCTGTCCAGATACTTATCAAATGTGGATTGGGGGGGCTTCAGCACAGGTGCTCAGGGGGCTGTCATTCAAGTGTTAAGGGAGGAGGGATACCTGTTCAGGTGCTTAGCTATTTAAGTGGGGTGCATGGGGGCATCTCTGTAAGGTGCATGAGTGGGCTGCATTGAGGCACACTTGTTTGGGTACTTGGAATCATCTATTCAGATATTTATGTGTTTGAGGATGTTGTTTGGGGTATCTGTCTAAGTGTATAGTTATTTTAGTGGGTAAGTTGGGGGTATTTGGATAGCGATTCCAGTGGGTTTGTTTGGGACACCTGTCTAGATGTCAAATTATTTTAGTAAGTTGGATTTTGCAGCATCAGGTTTTCCGGTATTCAGGAGGTGAGGTGAGGTGATCAATAGTCCAGGTGCTAAGACACTCAGACTGAGTAGGGAATGCCTGTTAGATATTAAGGTAAATTGAAATGGGAACACCAGCCCAGCTAATTGAGCCGAGCTGAAGGCCTGTGTCTTTCCTGCAGGCTCTTATTTGGTGGGTATCTGTTGCAATATCCAAGTGTCTTTAGGGACTGGTATTGGGCACCCGTACTGGGTTCTTGTGCAACTGTTCAGGTGTTCAGCGCAAGTGCAGGGGCAAATTTGATGGAACCCAGTCTGGAGGAGGAGAGTTTGGAGCACCTGTCTGGTGTAAGGGAGAGAGTCCTTAGCTGGTTTTGGTTGGTGTGTGGTGAGCCAGGGCCTGACGAGTTACCTGCCCCGTGGACGTAGCTGTGAACTGGAAGCTTCCCAACATCATACTCAGTAATGACAGGAACTCTTTGTCCTCATAGTCAAAGCGGTCCCCAAAGACAATGGAGCTGATGACATTGGAGACAGTCCGACTCAGGAAGAAGGTGGGGTCAATGATGGCACCTGCAGGTGGAGCAGGGTCCAGGAGAAATGGGATTGGTGGGGAGAGAGAGTTAGGGTAGCAGTTTGAAGCCAATCAGAGCACTTGAGGAGGGTACTTTATAGATAACCCAATTTACCAGCACCAGACTTCCGGACTGGAGTGTGGACGTCTGTCCCCACCATAGTCCCAGTCTTGAGCCAGAACATGTGCCCTGCTCACCGCGCGTTTCCTTGAAGGCCTCGATGAGGAAGCCTGCCTCCTCCATGATGCGCTCCTCGATGCCTCGCTTGCCCACTCCAAAGTCGCGCAGGGTGGTGATGGAGAAGCGCCGCAACTGCTTGGCACGCTCCCCGTTGCTGAATGCCACACCTAGTAGTGAGCGCCGAATTGGAGAGAGGTCAGAGATGGTCTGGACAGGCCACTGACCAGACCTGGAGGGGCTCCCTACAGGCTTTCAAGGGGTGTATTTGGATTCATAAGTGGAGAAGGAGGAGAGGGAGAAAGATGGATACAGAGTGAGAGCCAGAGAGGGAGAGGGAGGAAGAAAGG